GAGTAACAATTAATCTCAACTTTAAGGAAATATAAAGCAATGTATTATGTTGTAACATGGAACATTGATGCAAATAGCTCCCTAACTGGAACATTTAATAAATTCTGAACTAGTGGTTAGCAAAAAAGACTTGCTTTTTCTTAAGCCTGTTATGCTCCAACATCTTTTTTAAAGTTTTCATTTTGAGTCATTATCATTGCACTGAGATGATGGTCCTTCTAGAAGACGATCATCACTTTTCTAATGATTACTTGATTAAATTTAATTATTTTTAGTTTTTGTTTTTATTTTGTTTTTTTTTTGGGAGGGGGTGGCACACCTGACAGTGCTCACGAATTCCTGGCTATGCGCTCAGGAGTTACTCCTGGCGGTGCTGTGGGGACCATATGGGATGCCAGAGATCGAATTTGGATAGGCTGTGTGCAAGGCAAGTGCCATACCAACTGTACTATCTCTCTGTCCCCATAAATTTAATTTTATGTACTTTTAAAATTAGAAAAATACTGTAGCTCAGGTAGCATGGTTACAATAATGTTAGCACTTATAATTTTTTGTATGTAAAGTTATCATACCTTGCCACCCCAAAGTGCCCAAGATCCACCACTGTTGTCTTTATGTTACTTCTGGTCCACCACTTCCTTACAATTCCCTCCCCAACACGTTGTAATCTGTTATTTAATCTAAGTTCACGGTATTTTCATTATTTGAAAGCCTCTATCCTTGTTGTACTTCTCTTTATTTCACAGATGACTGATGTCATTGGTATTTGTTCTCCTTCTGACTTATTTCAGTTAACAGGATATACTCCAGTATATTCCATTATGTATATATGCCACACCTTATTTATCCATTTATTTTCTTTCTTTAATTTTTTTTATTGAATCACTGTGTGAATCAAGAAGCTGTTTATGATTAGGTTTCAGTCATGCAGTGTTCCAACACCCATCCCTCCACCAGTGTAAATTTTCCACTCCCATTACCCCCAGTTTCCACTCCCATTACACCCCCATTCCCAGCCTGCCTCTATAGCAGGTGTGCTCTCTCTCTCTTTCTCTCTCTCTTTCTCTCTCTCTCTCTCTCTCGCCTTTAGGGCATTGTGGTTTGCAATACAGATACTGAAATGTTACCAGGAATATCCCTTTACCTACTTTTAACACTCACTTCTTGTCCAGCATGTTCATTCCCTGCTATTATTGTCATACTGGTCTCTTTATCTTACCTACCTTCTGCCCCTCAAGCACTTGTGATTGATTTCAACCATTAGCCAGTCCTCCTATCCATTCATTTTATTTTGGTTTGTTTGCTAGCTACTCTTCTCAATGAATATAGGTATGAATGTATCTTTTACAATAGATGTTTTTGTACTTAGGAGATATTGGCCAAGAACTGAAATATGAAAATTTCATTACTTTTTGGAGAAGACTCCATTCTATTTTCCGTAAAGGCTGAACCAGATAATATTCTTCCTGAAAATACTAAGCTTAAGTCTTTATAGCATCTTACCGTTTAAGTCTGATAATTGTGCATACCTTGTTAGTTGAATTGTGATCCTCTAACATATTTTCAAGTTCTGACTTCCTCAACTGAAGTGTGACTTTATTCGGAAAGTTTTTGCAGGCATAATCAGGTTAAAACACCATTTAAGACTGAATTAGGGTGGGCCCAAATCCAATGACTGATGTAGTTAGAAGTTTGTACCCAGAGTGATACACTCAGAGTGGAAGTTCTTGGGTATTGGCAAGATACTGTGATGAAAGCTGTAGAGATTGGAGTCATATAAATGTATAAACCAAGGCATTCCAGAGATCATCTACTGACACAGGAAACGAAGAAGGAAAAGACAAAGCAGCCTTCTGTTCTAGATCTTCGGAGGGAGTATGGACCTGCCAATATCTTAATATCAGAATAATGACAGAATAAAATTTTGTTGTTCTAAGCCACCCTATGATCTCTTTTTTTAAAAAATTAATTTTTAATTGAATTACAGTGAGATCAAGTAAATTCAATAAATTTTAATTGAATCACAGTTTGATGATTGAATTTCAGTTGTGCAATGTTCCAACACCCATCCCTTCACCAGTGCACATTTCCCACTACCAGTATCCTCAGTTTCCCTCCCATTCTCCCCCACTGACCTCGAAGCCTGCCTCTATGTTCTATGGCAGGCATTTTACTTTTCTCTTTCTTTTTTATTTCTTTTCTTCCTTTTAAGGACTGTGGTTTGCAATACTGTTACTGAAAGCGTGTTATGCATTTTTAAGACTCTCCTAGGAAATTAAGCCAACATCATGTTAGAACTGAACAACGGGTTAAATTGACTTCAATCAGGAGAGTAGGAAAGTACCTGGTGACCTGATTCTGAGCATTCAGTGCTCTGAACAGTTCTATTACTCTAGGAAATTTAATTCCCTCCCCCTTCTCCCTGTCTTAAGAAAACATGAACGTAACTTCAGAGTAATTAGGTAACCATCCCACATTTTAAATTTCAGGGAAATACTGGTTTTTTGGGGGGGTGGGCAGGAAGGGTTGGTATTTTCCTACTCCCAGATTGCTGCCTGGGGAGGGCACTCCTGGTTGAAGTTGGGGACCTTGGAGTGATTCCTGGGAACTGAATTCAGGGCCTCACACAAAGTAGCCCTACCACTGTGCCATATTCTTGTATCTTGCTTAAAATAGTTACTACATATTTGAGATAGCATTTTCAAAAATTAAATTATTCAAATATGACCGATGAGTTCCAGATAGTGATATTTCTTTAAACATTCTAAACTGTACTCGTATTTTGAATGGTTTTAATAGCAAATTAAGTATCAATTTGATCTTGAAATATATATCTGACAAACCAATTAAACCATTAAAAACTGGCTATTTAGCCCACATTTTTGTTCACATCTCATCAGATACATTATGAGTCATTTCATCCACTATTAACATGTAATTCACTCAATTGATATTTATTAAATATCAAATGCTTGCCAGACACTGAGCTAGATGCTGTAGATAACACTAGTAAATAAGTACTTGTCATTATAAAGATCACTTTGCTTTTGAAATTTAAAATTTATACAGAAGTTACAGAACGTTTTGAAGAAAGTGTTTACTTAGAACATTCATCTTTAGTGCTATACTTTTAATTCTGTAAAAAATAAATTTAACATTTGATTTTCAATATTCTGTGATTCTGTGGCCTTATATTACCATGGGGAAAATCAAATTAAAATGTTTTATCATATTTTCTTATTATCTTTTGTTGATAAGCTCACACAGTATGGAAATTGAACCTCTTTAAAATCTCATTTGGGGGAGAGATTAGAGGAACTAGAGACAAAACATTATTATTTTAAGTTGCATCTCATTATTAATGAGTTTGTTCATTGTTTTGTAGTTTTTAAGTTCCATTCAGTATTTGTATGCTTTTCTGTTTGGACTGTAGGAATTTATATATTAAGAAATGAGCATATTGTGTTTTACCTTTGTTCAAATATTTCTATACTTTATGCATCTTTTAATTTTTTCTGGGCTGGAGCGATAGCACAGTGGGTAGAGCGTTTGCCTTGTATGCAGCCAACATGGCCGACCCGAGTTGGATTCCTCTGCCCCTCTCAGAGAGCCCGGCAAGTTACCGAGAATATCTCGCCCGCACGGCAAAGCCTGGCAAGCTCCCCGTGAAGTATTCAATATGCCAAACACACTAACAATAAGTCTCATGATGGAGACGTTACTGGGCCCGCTCGAGCAAATTGATGAACAATGGGAGGACAGTGACAGTAATTTTTACTATTTTTTCCTTTTTAAGACAATTTTAAACGTCTTGGACTATTTGTGTTGCCTTCTGATGCTTCTATTATTAAATTCTCAACCTGGAATATTTTTTAAAAGTTGGTTATCTGTGTTAGGGTTTTTAAAAAACAATTTGCTACAATTATTTTCCCCAGTGACCATTCTTATCAAGCAGTGCTCAGGAAAAGCTCGGGACTCTTCCTGATGATTGTAGGCCAGCCAGGACTAGGGGTACTGGAGGCAGATTCACAATATTTGAGGGTCTTGGAGACTGCACCTGGTGGTGTTCAGGGACCTTCAGAGTTAAACCATGTGATGCTTGAGGGAACACATGCTGCTAGAGTTTGCACAGGGTTCAACTGCTTACAGTACCTGTGACTTAACCCTGTACCACCTCTCCAGTTTACTGCCTGGACATATTTTTAATATAAAGTATAACGTAAAGATGAACTGGTTTCGAATAGTTAATTGATTTTCTCACAATTTGATAGGTACCCTATGTGTATTTATTTGTAATATTTTTCTTATTGTTATGGTCTAATTTCTTTGCAATGTCTTTTTTTTTCTTTTTGTTTTGGGGCCACACCTGGCTGTATTCAGGGCTTACACCTGGATCTGTGCTCAGGAATCACTCCTGGTGGAGCTCTAGAACCTTATAGGGTGCTGAGTACCAAACCTAGGTCAGCAGCGTGCAAGGCAAGCACTCTACCCACTGTGCTCTAGTTCTACCTTCCCCTATAAATCATTTTAAAAGTTGGGCATGTATTTAATTATGAAAATTGTGTACAACTGAACAGTCCTCTGGTAATTTATTTTTTCTGTACTAGAAATATATTTTTTAGAACATGGTACATTTTCTCAAATTATTTTTTGCACTTTAGAAAAAAATAATAGAGACTTCTTGAATCTGTCAATTGCAGCAGATCACTTTCAGCAAGGTAGTATATACTAAATATTCAGATTACCAACCGTATCTTCAAATTGTCCTTGGATACTTTATCTGGAGGATTCCTGAGTGGCCATTTATGTTTTCCAATTTCATCATGCAAGGTTAAGCAATATTTTCCAAATATCCAAAAATATTAATGAATATTGTTTTATAAAAGTAATATTTCTATAGACCGTCAATTCATGAAAATCAACATATGGTTTGATAATTTTATAAATGAATAAAAATGGTAACCTTTTCTATTTTTCTTTGATTTGTGGTTTTATTTTAGATCATCTATTACTGATAGATAGAAGCTGCTTCTACTTGGGCGTAGCTGGAGAGGTGAGGAAACCACATGGAAGACTCCCAGGACTTAAATGAGCAATCAGTAAGTCTAACTCAGTCTCAAGTTTGCTGACAAAATATTGTAATGTGACTGCTCAAAAGCATATTTAAAAAAATATGCTTCAAAAAGCAAAGTTTGGTTTGAACGTATTTTAGGTATTTTTTAATTCTATTTCATGATCATAAAAGACCTCTGCTGTGTTCTGCTTACATTTTGAGGTAACCCTTGATTCTCTGCATGTAAATCCATGATATAAAGAACAGTGAATCACAATCAAACTGTTTTAGGGAATCTCAGTAACTTGTGCAATTTTGTGATTAGATTTCGTTTTAGTGTGTTTAGATAGTACATGTATTGTTGAATGTCAGAAGCATACAAGAGTATAAAAATAGCACACCTCTTGTTCATTTCAAGGATGACAGCCTCAGTCATCAAGAGCTTTATTTTATTAAGCACTTTGTAGAGCAAAGAATGGAGTTTACTGGTGGCAGTCATTTCAGATTCTCATTTTCAAAAAGGAAAGGATTTACATGGTCATTTCTCCGGCTCATGAGTTGTGTCTCCATAATGCTAAATTTTCAGTGTATAGAAGTAGTATTAGTGGAAACTCTTCCCTAACCCTCATACTACGACCACCTTTGGTTCAAAGTTTTCTTCCCACTGATATCCTTCTGTGTCACTAGTCAGGAGACGTGTGTGTTACACAAATTAAGTGTTACACAAATCGATGCTATTGTTTATCAGTTTGATCATGACTTGATTTAGAAAATAATATCTGTTTTTTAACAAAGCAAAATGTGTGCTTCTTGAAAAGATGTCTATGACAAGTTAGTTTTAAAATATAGGTAATTCATGTTTTGGTACCTACACTATTTTCCAAATTAATTTTTAAATCAAGTATTTCACCTGAAGTCAAATAGATGATTATATTCTAACCTAATTAAACATTACATTATCACCTAATTTCACATGGCAAATTACTGGAAAATACACCAAAAATTTGGGCTGAAGACATAGAGGAGGGCATATGGTGCTTGCCTTGCATGCAACTGATCCCAGTTAGAATTCCAGGCATCACATACGGTCCCTTTAGCACTCCTAGGAGTGATCCCTAAGGACAGAAACAGGAGTAATCCCTGAGAACCAATGGGCGTGGTCCCCAAAACTGCATGTATTTATATGTATATACACCATATATGCTATATATGTTTCTAAATATAATAACATTTTAAAGCAATAAAATTATAAAATTTTCAAGTGGTATGGAAATTTAATTTTTTAAAATTTTTTGTATTTTCTTAGAAAAGTAGAGATAGTAATTGGGAGGTAGGTCACTCAGAGTAGTAGTTTAATGCTGATTATCATTCTTAAATAGTCCTAGCATAAATTTAAGTAAAATGGGTGAAAGCATGATAATATGTAACTGAATGTTTATGGATCCTCATGGTCTCTGTGGGTGATACTTTATGTAGTGGAGTGAATAGTATAATGAAGTTTCATTATATGATGAAACATGAGTGGTGATACTTCATGAAAGGATTACTTTCTACTGACATATAGAGGGATACTTAAAGTGTGTGTGTATGTATGTGTATGTATGTATGTATATATGTGTGTGTGTGTTTGGGGGGGACAGAGTGAAAGAGAGAGCGAAAGGGAAAGAGAGAGAGTACAAGGAGGGGAAGAAAGTGAGAGAGAGATAAGTATGAATGACCAACTTCTATTTTTTTCAGATTGAGGGTTTCCCCAAACACAGAACTTTCAGAGCTAAAGTACATGGAGTTCCAACAAGTTCAGTCGCTTGATCCCCTCATTTACCCTAGGGAGTGTATTGACTCATGCATTTTTGGTTTTGGTGTATTATAAGTTAAAGAGAACATGTATTTCTATTTCACATTTGAGGTTATTACTCCCAATTTTTTATACTACTTTCATAATACTTTTATAAATCATTGAGGTGAAATTTTAGAGTTGCCCAATAGTATTCTTTTTTTGTTTGTTTTTGTTATTTGGGCCACACCTGTAATGCTCGGGGGTTACTCCTGGATCTGTGCTCAGGAATTACTCCTGGCAGTGCTCAGGGGAACCACATAGGATTCCAGGAATTGAATCCGGGTTGACCATGTGTAAAGCAAATGCCTTACCTGCCTTACCTGTGCCAGCCCTGGTTTTGCAATAGTATTCTGGAGAGGTTTGTGCTAAGAGAAATAAGTCAGTAGAGAGAACAGGTGACTTCATTCATATATGGCATACAAGTAAACAAAACAAGGGAACAGACAAGGTCAAGTGAACATAACTTTTACCACAGAACAAAGGTTACTAGGGGGGTAGAGGGAAATGGGAGAGGAGGGTGAGTTAGGTCCAGGAAACTGTGGTGGAGAAATAATGTTTTGGTGGTGGGTGTGGAGTGACAATATGCATTTTGAAGAGGTGTGGCATTGTGCCTCTGAATCCTTTATAGCACAGAGGGTATGGCGTTTGCCTTGCACGTGGCCAACCAGGTTGACCCGCGTTCGATTCCTCTGCCCCTCTCAGAGAGCCTGGCAAGCTACCGAGAGTATCTCGCCCACACAGGAAAGCTTGGCAAGGTACCCATGATGTGTTCAATATGCCAAACACAGTAACAACTCACAATGTTACTCGGCCCACTGGAGCAAATTGATTAACAACGGGAGGACAGTGACAGTGACAGTATAGTATTATCTCAATTAAAAAGCAAACATACCAATGATCTACAGTGCAGTTAGGCTATGAAGTAAAAGTCCAGGGAAGTCTTTTGGCTCGTCAGCTCAAACCTAGCTGCTAATTTTGTGGTGAAAATGGAAGAGGTTTTGAGAAAAGAAAAAAAAATACTCCCCCCCCCCCCCTTACCAAATTTCCCACCCTGTTTGGGATCAAATTGCATGCTTCTGTGTTTTAATAGGTCTGTCAGAGTGGGCACTTCTGTTTTAAGCTATAAGAATTGAAGGTAATTTCAGTGGTAATGGCTTGATGACATTAATTTTATAAATATCATAAGTTCCTGCTCTTCACATTTAGATTTAGAAACATCTATAGGCTGGTCCTTTCAATTTATGCATGTATAGAGGTACATTTGGGACTGTAAATAACTAGTCATCATTGACATACCATTGACATGACTGGATAGTGGTCAGAACTGAGGCTTCACACAGGTCTTCTGACTCCAAGTCCAAATGTTTTTACATTTATCACTTTAAAAACATTAAAAAATATCAAGCCCCTTCACATTAAGATGGTTTTCTATATGAGTGTGAACTTGAATTTTTTTTGAAGGCTAAAGAATAAATTTAAATATTTTGATAAGATGAAATGTAATTTAGATCATCGCTTCTTTGGAATTCAAGAATTCTTTCTATTGGCATAGGCACACTATCCTGCATTTCCACTCATGCTCTACAATCTTTTCCATACTCTTGCAATGTAATTGTATTTGTTAACCATTTTACTGATATGAAAATTATGGTTTGGAGAGTCGTCAAGTACAAACAAAGCAGCAGAGATCATAATGTAATTCACTTTTTTAAAAGTTTTTTTTTAATTGAATCACTGTGAGATAGACCCTTACATCTTTTACAAAGCTGGTCATGATTAGGTTTCAGTCATACAGAATTCCAATACCCATCCCTCCACCAGTGTACATTTCCCAGCACCAATGTTCCCCGTTTTCCTCCCATCACCTCCGAGTCTGTCCTTACTTAGCTTCTCTCTGTCTCTGTCTCTCTGTCTCTGTCTCTGTCTCTGTATCTGTCTCTCTTTCTCATTCTCCTTTTGGGCATTGTGGTTTGCAAGGGGTATATATGATAACCTTTTAGTATCTAAATGTAATTCACTTTCATCTGCTCCTAAGACCTGTGATGGACTTTAATGATATAGTATAGTCATTAAGGACTTGAGTTATAAAATAATAAGACATCTCTGACATCCAGTACTTCATCACCATTGAGAAACTCATCTGCATTTATATAATAGAGCTGATATTAAACATAAGTTATATGAAGGGCTCCTCACATGTTTGGCTTAGAGTAAAATTTTCATAAATATTTGCTACCTAACTTAACTCAAAAGCTCTTCGTGGGCATGAATTCATTCTTCCAAACTTTGCGACTATATCTGGAAGATGGATACTTCTACCTGGAAGTGCACAAGCTCAGTAGATTGGACTCACTAGAACTTCCTTCTCCCAGGTTTCTTTTGTTTCCCTCAGCCCTTGTTAGACAAAGGGAAGTGGCATGAATGCTATTTCCAGGCTGAGACAATGAGAAGATTAGTCTTTTGGCCTCTCTTCTATCTAACATGTGAATAAGAGGGAAGATTCAGTTGAAAATGGCTGACTTGTGCCTTACTGAAGTGCATGGAGGACAGTAGTAGGCAGTGAGTTAATAGAGGCATATGAAATTTTGTCTGATATTTCACTATGAGTGGAAATATCAGGGAGCCTGTTAGATGTAGACATCTGGAACTCAGGAAAAGAGTTTTGACTTGAAATACAATTTTTAGAATAATTAGGGGATCAGTGGTCACGGTCACAGTCCTCCGGTTGTTCATAGATTGCTTGAGTGGGCCCAGTAATGTCTCCATCATGAGACTTGTTGCTACTGTGTTTGGCATATCGAATATGTCATGGGGAGCTTGTCAAGCTTTGCCGTGCAGGTGAGATACTCTTGGTAGCTTGCTGAGCTCTTTGAGAGGGGCAGAGGAATCAAACCCAGCTCAGCAGGGCTGGATGCGTGCAAGGCACACACCCTACCACTCTGCTATCGCTCCAGCCCATGTATCAGTGGTATTAAAAAAATACTTGGGGCCTCTCAAGCAGTGCTCAGGAGGCCAGGGGTCTCCTCCTGGTGATTCTTGGGCAAATTGGCCTGTGGTTCAGTGAAAATGTTTAAAGATAGAATGCTGTTCATTCTGTGGTGAAAGGGATTACTCTGGTCGGTATGGTGGTGTTGGGGGTCTAATGGGCAACACCTTTCAGTACTGGGGACCTACAGGGCTGCACCTTAGTGCTGGGAAACTACAGAGCC